CAATGTGGTTTTGACTTGTATTTCATAATGACCAGTGATGATGAGCTTTTTTTCATATATTTGTTGGCTGCATAAATACCATTCAGGACACAGGCATGGACAAAGACTTCATTACTAAAACACCAAAAGCAACGGCACCAAAAGTCAAAACAGACAAACGAGATTTAATTAAAACTTAAGAGCTTCTGCACAGCTAAAGAAACTATCAATAGAGTGAACCAGTAACCAACAGAATGGGAAAAATTTTTTTGCAATCTAACCGTCTGACAAAGGGCTAATGTCTAGAATCTACAGAGAATTTAAACAAATTTACAAGACAAAAACAACCCCATCAAAAAGTGGGCAAAGGATATCTATTTACTTTTACTCTAATTTTCTAATAATTATCATGCATAGAATTAATTTTCTCCTCTTGTTCAATATTTTTGCAACAAGTTCACATTCGTAGTGAAATGCACACTTTATCATCTAGTGTGATGATTTTACTTTAATAGAAAGCTGAGGGTCACAGCTCAGCAACATAATTGTAGACTAGCTCTACCCCAACCTCAGTCACAACCCTCATTAGACTCCAATACTAAATGGTTTAGTATTGAAGCAGTGACATGTTCAAAAAAGCAGTTCCACAGACAAAAAATAGCTACAACAGAATTTTATACTTTACCTTTATTTTTTGAAAGACCTTGAAAGTAATCCAAATATATCTTACATAACATCAATTGTTAGAACAAGGTTGTTCCTTGGTTACATCACCCCTGATGGTGTCCTAAAAGGACATGCTAATCCTAAATCTGGCACCTTGCCAGTTAAGGAAACAGCAGAAGCAGGTGTCCCTTCTCCCCTGAAGCAGGCCATCAAAAAGTTATCTGAACTTTTTTCTGAAGAAGGTCATAAGAACCTCATGTGAGAGATGCCCACTCTATGTCTGGAAGAAAGAAGCTTCCATATCTCTGAAAACATGGGGACACAGAGAAGAAACTGAACACACACACCTAGCTAGGTTGCCCCCAGATGATTACGACAAGATCACACCTCCTTTTTCAAATCATACTTCTTCACAGCTATCCACTTATTCATCAAATGTTACATTAAAATACACAGGTTTTTTCTGTTTTTTTTTTTTTTTTGATCTTCATTTCTAATAGCTCCTATGTCTCTTCAAACTTATAAGTAACTATGTATGCTTTTCTCTGAACGATCTGTCTTCAGTCACAGGTGCCTCAGCCAGAGCATAAAGATGGGTAAGAAAAAAGATCTTCCCCCTCATTCACATCTCCACACTCAAAGGTGCTCTATACTTTTCTCCTTCCACACCTTATACACCCTTCATCTTTATTTCTTTCTAGGCTACACTTCATTTTTATTATTTTTCTCTCCTTTTTTTCTCAATATGTTCTTAAATAATAGATTTAACAGGTATGAAATAAACCTTTTTAGAAGGATTTGTAGGATTTGTAGCAGAAAGAATGGGCTGAAAAGAAAAAGGTCATCTTTGATGGGGTAGAATATTGGTCTCATTAGTATATTCATAATAGTATCATAAGTGTTGAAAATATTAGTAATTGTCATTGAGGCGAAATGAAGAGGAAACTTCACATGTTCTTCAACTCAGAAACTGTTAAAGTGATTTATGTATTTGACCATTTAATCCTTTCAACAGCTTGTAGGGCAGGACTATCATAATTCATGTTTTTATGATGAAAAAACAAAGGCAAAAGAAATATCCAAAGTCACACAGCTAGTAACTGGTGGAGCCAGGATTTGATCTCAGTGAGACTTGACTCCATCAAGTTTTTAAGCATTAAAGAAGCAGAGACCTAATAACCCTCTGACAGAAATGCTGGTTTTGATGCTGGTTGGTATATGATCTCTATGCTACCTTCTAACTATAATGACTGCAGAGAAATAATTTTGGAAAGTTTTCCAAGGAACTATTGAAAGGAAATATTGCTAAAAATTTTTGAAAGGCAGAAGAAAATCTCTAGAAGCATCTCTAGGAAACAACCTGAATTAATGAGGCAATGTCCACATCTGAAAGTCTAAAAGAATGTAAAAACAAGGTTGATTTAACAATCTCTTCTTGAAAGACTGGGACTGGAGCTTGGCTCAAGTCATAATGAGAGTCCAGAGAAGGTTAGTAATCTGTATTAAAACTGTGGGCAACTAAGAAAACAAACAAGAACCAATATATATATATTGAAATATATATAATTATATTTATTTTATTTATAATAAAATTTATATAATATAAATAAAAATTTAAATATAAATATAATATTTATATTTATATTAATTATATATATAATTATATTTCAATAGTCCTTAGCAACAAAAGAACAGGAGGTTGAAAAAAACGAAGTTACAAATATACTTAAGTGCAAGTCCAGTGGCTCACGCCTGTAATCCCAATACTTTGGGAGGCCGAGGTGGGTGGATCGCTTAAGGTCAGGAACTTGAGAGTAGCCTGGCCAAAGTGGTAAAACTCTGTTTCTACTAAAAATACAAAAATCAGCCAGCACTTTGGTGAGTGCCTGTAATTTCAGCTACTTGGGAGACTGAGGCAGGAGAATCACTTGAACCCGGGAGGCAGAGGTTGCAGTGAGATGAGATCGTGCCACTGTACTCCAGCTTGGGTACAGAAAAAGACTCCGTCTCAAAAAAAAAAAAGTGTGCCTAAGTAACAGGTACATTCTCCAGGCAGCCTTTTTGGGTGTAAGGCAAAATTTTCTCTATTTAAAAACCTGTGAAGTTCAAGCTCTAGGAGTTAGGTCAGATTATTAATACATTCTGATATTTTCTGAACAGAAGTTATAATAGTCTATGCCAAAGACATATGGTACTGTACAATTAGGAAAAGCTAGAAGGAAGTTTAGGGGTAGAACATTTCCCTTTTAGCAGTTCATGTGCAGTTTTTCTAACCAAAGTATATTCAAATTATTCTAGAGCAGGGCCAAGTGTAGAAGTTAAAGGAAAAATCTCTTATTCCTTCTTAGATAGAATCACATCAATCCTAACTAAATTTCTGATACCAAAAGAAAAGCAGAATATATTTGAAAGCGTTCTATGGCAACCAGGCCTATATTTATAAAAGAGCAGAGCTTTTCTTTCTCTGATATCTATGACTTATGATTGAAAAACTGTGCTACAGAGACAGAACAAACTCAAACAAAAATTCCAAAGAACCTATTCTGATAAATGATACATGACAAAATTACATTTAAACAGTTACAAGGCCCAAAGGAATCCAGCAGAGAATAAGAGCAAATGATATGGGTGTTTTCCTACTCTTAATTCCTTTGACAAAAATCATAAAATATGGTTCTTTCATATAATGACAGGAAGAATTAAGAAATCTGAGAACATAAAATATATTTTGTTCAGAAAGAGAGATGTTGTTCCTATATATTTCATATTGGCAGTTTTATTTGAAAAGAGTCTCTGGATCTTTGTTTTTAAGAATGGGAAGGATAAGAATAGTAGAAAAAGGGAAAAAGCACAGTAGTTTTATAGTTTCACCTCTAAACATTTGATAGACAAGGCTGTCTAAAGGCTAATTTGAAATTCAGTTAGCACATCCAGGGGAAGCCACGCGAGCAAATATATTTCTAAACAGGATGCCAAAAGAATGTTGTTAGTGCATTTGTAAATTTCCAATTCTTTCTTACTACCCTTATCCAACAACCCAAACAAATCAGTTTAAATACAACTTCTTTTCCTAATGTCTTTTGAAGCATCACTGCAGTCAGATTGAGTCAAGTAACCATCTGCTGCAAATACAAATAGAGCTACATTCAAGAATTATATTACACAGCCTTCCTAGCAAAGTTCTTACGTGCAAGCTGTTCTTGTCAAAATCAGAACCATTGTGATGATGCATCTTAATATTCAATCAGACTTTAAGTAAAGAGTGACAAAAGTCCACATATGGATGACAGCTGTTTCTTCAGTAAATATTTTCCCATTTATTGAATGGAGGCTTATGGCAGTTTAAGATATGTTCCATCAGACATTTCAGTCTGAACCGCCTGAGGACGATTACAACAATAACAAGGATAAAATTTCAGTTTTAAAATCTTTGCTACAATTTACATCTTAAAAAATAACAGCTCGTTCAAATAAGTTGGTAGACTATGCCGTTAATTTGAAAGTACCCTTGCCCAGTAGTGACTGCTGAAAGAACTGAGTTTACCGGACTCTATACTTTTTGCCCCTGGCCCTCTACTAATACCATCATGTTTGTAAAATAAAAGCATAATTATTCTATTGATTTTCTAATCATATGAGCAAAGATGATGAGAATTGAAACATGTTATGATTATATTTTTACAAATTATGAAATATGGTAAAAAGATTAATGAGCCTATTAGCTATAGAAGGTCAGAGGGCCTCTATTCAACCAATAAAGTAGCTTGCTATATTGGGAAGTTTAAAAAAAAAAAGATGAATTCTGACAAGGAATTCACTAACACCATAATAATATTTAGGTTTACATATCAACAGACACTGAACATAAAGAGAATCTGAACAAGAATATTCTTAATGTTTTACTAGTACCTGGGTAAACATATATTGTCCCCCTTTTATAAACCCTAAATGTTATGCTGGATATAAGTATGTCAACAGTACCTCTTTCAAGTAGCATCCTTGAGGTTTGCTAAATAAAAAGCCCACTGTTAAGTGTTAAAAAGTTGTGTCTCTTTAACCTAAAAATATGTTGAAGCCTTTCTCTGACGACCCCAGTGCAATTCTTAGAAAGGTGGAAGGGAATATGGAAGGTTATTTGTGTCTTAGCACCTGCAATATTCATGTGCTAATAACTCACCGGCCTCTGCCTGGTGAGTTATAGCTTTTTTTCCCTCCTGCGACACAGTTGTTAAAATCAAGATTTTTAAGAAGTTTGAGTCTGTAGTCTTATATTCCACAACAACATTTATCACACTTCAATCTTTTCTTTTAAAATGCAAACTTTTTTAGACCAAACACTATACAAAAAGTCTTACCCTGCCATTGGGTCTACTGCTATTGCCTTAGGATTGTGAAGCTCCAGATCAATCAGGGTGACACATACAGAACCGTTGTAATTACAAACAAAGATCCGGTCACTGACATGGTCCACAAAATAGAGATTTCGGGTGAGCCAGTCAATTGCCATTTGTTGCACATCTGAAAAACACATACACAAAATCATTGAATCACAGGTGCAACCTAGTATCTTGAGCCAAAAATAACATAAGTCTTTCCAAACCATCACAGAGGACACTTCAAAACTAGAGACCTTTTAATAAAAGAAACTGCAAATAAAGTCTCTTGCTATGCCAAAATGTGACTACTTAATTATGTAAAATAATGACTACCTCACGGTGCCTTTCTTCTTGCTATTTGAAGACTGAAAGATGATCTAGATACATGGATAAAGAGTTTTTAATTTTTAAAATATAGGTATTTTGAATATAATCTTTCTCCTGTGTTTTGCATTTGTCCAAATTGTTCATTTGATGCAATGGACAGAACTGATTCTACAGCACAGCTAAACTCTGTAGTGGTGAGGAATAAGTATCTTTTATTATGAGTGTAAGGCAAGTACTTGTTTTCAGATTCCTTTCTGTTAAAAGAAGGAAGAAGTGGAGAAGACAGTAAAAGAAATGTGTAAGATTCTTTTGTTTAAAAAAATATCCCAAACTTGGAAATAAAGCAAATGGAGGGTTACTAGCTTCTTTCAATGGCATACTTAGGCATTGTAAAAAAAGGCTTGTTCAAGGATTAATTAATTCTCTAGAAGAATGTTGCCCAACAGCACTTTCTACAGTGATTGTAAGAAAAGAAAAATAGCTAAGAGCAGTCTGAGCTATGTGAGGTATGCAAAATTAATCAGGCTCAGAGCCCTGAGTACAGGACTTCAGCTATACCTTGCATACCCCAAGCCCAGAGGCGGTTGTTTAAAGACATTTCATTCTGACTAGCTGTTTCACTCAGTATCTTCATGTTCCTGGAACTTGTGATACAAGAAACTACGTATAGCCAATCAATAACTTATGTTACTTTAATGTAAATTCTTAGTAAACAACTTCGGAACTGACTCTTCTTTCCCTTTAAAAACCTACTTGTAAGTGCTGCTAATAGGAGTATATGTTCAGAGCAAATTGAATCTGTACTATTGAGTTGCAATCCTCAAGCTTGGCCCAAATAAACTCTCTACTTAGATTATTTTGGCCTCAGCTTCTTCCTTTTAGGTCAACAATAAAAATATTCCATATTTATGCTGTCCAATAAAGTAACCACTAGTCAAATAGAACTATTTAACATGTGGCTACTATGACTGGAAAATTGATTTTTATAATATCTAATTTTAATTAATTGGAATTTAAATTTAAATGACATAGGTGGCTAGTGGCTATAGTTGGGGCTCAGAAAAAGATATCCCAAAATATATACAGCTTTGGACTTCAGACCGCAGGCACCTGGTAAGCACCAATGCAGGGATGGGTTTTCTCTGAAGTTCCTTTGTCTGACAAATGGAAGAAGGAAAGGAGAGGGGAGATGAGGAGAGGGGAGAAGAAGGAAGGGGATGGTGAAGAGAGAAGGGGAGGGGAGGAAAGGAAGCGACAAGGAAAAGGAAACAGAAAAGGAAAAGGAAAAGGAAAGTAAGCATCTGTCATAAACCTACCCCTATAATCTCATCAAGCTGGAAAGATTAAATCAGAGGAAAGGAAAACGAAGGTCAATAAACCAGCTCTTTTGCTGAGAATTGCTACCTGAGAGAATCTGCATATCAAGGCAGCCTTTGTTCTCCATGCACTTCCTCCCTCAACCTCTCATAACCTGTCACCACCTCAAACCCAGAGACTCCATGCCTTTATCTTTTTCTGTAGCTCAGGATTCTATATTAACTTCTGCAATGTGGACTTTTTTGGAGTCTTATACTTTGTGGAACCCCGGTGAGTATGCATGCAATAAATTGGCATTCCTTTTCTCCTATTAATCTGTCTGGTGTCAAGTTTATTGCAGAGACTGAAATTATAGAATCTTCACAGGGTAGAAGCAAAGTTCCTTTTGTCTTTACACAATTCTCAATAGTGAAACTCTGGAAGAGTGTATCTGTTTGACTTGAGAATTTCCTGTTTGATCAGTCATACACAGAAATTGCATGTTAGTTTGTAGATACTTCTCTGATAAAAAGGACAAACTCAAAGGTTATGATTGTATTGCCCTGTGAGGCATTAAACATTTATATGCTTAACCTATGAATCTCATTTAAATATTATTTTTTATTCAAATGTCTGTAAACATCCAATTCCTCTAATGATAATAGACCAGTAATACTGGTCTGTTTCCCTCAATAATGACATAAGTACATTTCTGATCCAGGTTCATTCCAGATTTTTATTATAGTCATTTTTTTTTTTTTTTGAGAATTTTACTTTGATACTTCCTTTCTTTAACTTTGAATGAATCTATGATTCATTGACTAAATAGAGTGACAAGGTTATGAACAGGCTACTCCAAAATACGGCATTTTGGCATATTGAAGGAATTTGAGAAATAGCAGGTGCAAGAAGGGTTCCCTAACTTTCCCCTTTCCCCTATCACTCTGGCAGGTGATAGAACCAACAGATGCCAGAAAAACTCTCTGATCTTCTCCTTCTTCCCTGGAGTAGATCATAAGACCCTTATCTCAGAGGTGACCTCCCTACCTCCAGAGGAAAGGAACATCCTTATTTCCAAAGATGGTGAGAAACAGAGAAATCTGAACAAATAGGAGATACTAAATTTCCCCACTCATTATTCTTAGCTCTTAACCATGCCCTATCATATTCTCTCCAATACTTTCTACTCTTCATCAGACCTAATATGGAAACACTCAGGCTCAACCATCTCTTTGGGCCTTTATTTCCTTATGAATGCTTCTGTGTCACTTAAAATTTATGTTAAATAAATGTGTATGTTTTTCTCTTGGTAATTTGTCTTTTGTTAGTCTAATTGGCATGGTCTTAGCTGATAACTTAAAAGGGGTAAAAATTATATTTTTTTCTTCCCCTATAAGAGTTTTTCCTTCTGCAATCTGAGCCTAAACATTCTCTATGCCTCAAAATATCCTCAGCAACATGCTGCTTAAGTGAATGATGTTATCTCAACAGAAAGACTAACATAGATGTATGTGTCAGCATTATTATTTGTAACAGTATATTGTCAAAACAAGGTGGAGAAGGCAGCACCTTTGTGGGAATGTCTATCATTTGCTACAAGTATAAGTAGAAAGAATATATTGCAATTCATTGGATAAAGATTTTCAAGCTATTGATAATAGTTTTATTCCTAAATTACACAGTTTTTAAAAAATTATAAATATTTAAATGTTTCTCAAACAATAAGAAGCTTTTTTTTTCCAACCAGGACTTTTTAAAAAGTGTGAATTATTTATCTGTCTTGCAAAATCTGGAATGTATGCTTTGCTTTGTCTTTGAGCCTTTTTGTATTATAATATCAGCTAGAGTTCAGAACTCACTGCTTCAAATGTCATTTCAAATACCTTGGGTTCAGATAAAGTGTGTGCCAGAGTCTATTCAATGACCCATCCCTCAAGCTGGGCATTCGGTTGCTTTAGTCTATGCGATTGTAATTTCAGATAAAAGAGCTGTTTGACAGCATTCATACCTGCTTTCAACTCTTTATCATTTCAGAAAGATTTTCTGCTACTGAAACAATAGATATTGTTAACAACCATGCAAGTTTGAAGCATTGAGATCTCACTACAGGGCCTAATAATAAGCCAATCATTTAGTAATTGTGGGGAATTGGCTTTGTTTCTCTGCTTCTAATTTAATTTGTATTAGAATTAGAGAGTTGAGGCAATTAGACAAAGAGTTGAAGCAAGTATGCCAATAAATAAATACATTAGATGGATGAATGGATCAATTTGATCAAATTTAATGAGAATTTAAAGGTTTTTCAAATTAAAGGAAGCTTTCTTCAACCAGCCCAGAAACTAGAATTTTTTAAAGTCTAAATCATATACCTGTCTTCAGAAATCAGAAAATGATTTGAATATTTTAGGAGAGAGGTGAATTTCCCAAAGTATTAAGTATTTTACCTTAATTTTACCAAAATATAATAAAGTTCATAGGCAATGACTGAAAATAATCACAATAATTTTATGACATTAATAAAATATCTCAAAATGTTAGCAAGTCCCTTGGTGCTTTGCTGTTATTGGAACAAAATTTTAAATATTTTCCTTTTTCTATTTTTTTAGTTGCTAATTGTTCTTTCTTCAAACAAAGCTCACCTGGATTTTGCTCTCATTGTTCCCTTGAAGTGGCTCTTTTTTTGATTACTGAAAATTCCTTAATTGCCAAAAGTTACTGAGAACTTTTCTGCTCTTAACATCTGAAAGTATTGACTACTCACCTTCTGAAATATAGATAACTCTAAATATCAACATTGGCAAAATTAGAAGAATAAAGAAATAAAAATGTTTTGAAACTTGTAAAATATTATATAAATATAAGCAACTATGTTTTTAAAACTTGCAGTTTGTTAGGTTTAAAAACTTAAATTTGTACCCAGTAATAATTAATGAAAATGAAACATTCAGAAAAAAGTTTAAAAAATGAATTCTTATGGTGATAACTCATAATTGGCTATAAAATGATACATCAGATTTTTTGTTATAAGGCAAGTAATTAATTACCAGAATCTGTGAATGTAGAAACTTAAAACCTTTTTAAAGTCAAAAAATAACAGATGCTGGCAAGGTTGCAACATAAAGGGAACACTGTTGGTCAGATTGTAAATTAGTTCAACCATTGTGGAAATCAGTATGGTGATTCCTTAAAAAGCTAAAAGCAGAACTACTACTTAACCCAGCAATCCCATTATTGTGTATATATCCAGAGTAATAGGAATCATTCTATCAGAAAGAGACAAGTACATGAATGTTCAACAAAGCATTATTCACAATAGCAAAGACATGGAATCAACCTAAATGCCCATCAGTGACAGACTGGATAAAGAAAATGTGGTGCATATAGGCTGGGTGTGGTGGTTTTTGCCTGTAATCCCAGCACTTTTGGAGGCTGAGGCGGGTGGATCACGAGGTCAGGAGTTTGAGACCAGCATGACCAACATGGTAAAACTCCATCTCTACTAAAATTACAAAGATTAGC